CATGCCGGGAAGTTTAAAGTTTCAAACAATTTTGATTCATAATAATGCATGTAGATATCAGCCAGGATGGGACTGAGGGGGCTTCCCTGAAATATGTTCAAGAAATTGAATAATAGGATCCTGCTGCAAGAGAATCTTTCAATCTGGAATTCCTTGCATGGATGGAAATGGATGAACATTGGTCATGGAACATTTTGCAGACAGATAAGGACCGTTTTTACCTAAATGGTAATGTCTATAACTGCAGGATTGGGGCCAAACAAATCCCTCATGTTATCTACCCAGTTCCATTGCATAATCGTAAAGTCGCGGTTTAGTGTGATACAACCAACGAGATAGTATACTGGTAGAGAGCGTATTGCAACCTTCAACCGGTTCCAACATTAGTGTCACGTGACTGCTGCGCGAATTCTGAAAGTCCGGAAATACTTTACATTGCTTTCTCTGGGACGAAAGACTGCTGCTCCGCTTGGTCACATGAAATTCAAGTAAAAATGGTTATTCGCTGCAGCACCTACGGATGTAAAGAAAGTTTCGTGAAAGGAGGACTTGTAACTTTTCATAGGTAAGTTAAAACTGCATGATTTATTATTTTATTTTCAGTACTTCTGTCATTTTACTATGTCTGTTGAATTGGTTGGAAAGTTTCAGCCGTATTGTATAAGAAAATTGCCGCCGTATATGACATTTTCAGCATGTATTATTAGCATCAAAATGTATTAAATACTGTGACACTATTTACTGGAATCACCCTTTACAAATAATTGAAATTTATATGTTTTTTCCGTGTATTCCGTTGAAATACCCTCATGTCCAAAATTATGTTTACATGCATAAATTCACGGATTTCTCAGAGACTATAACTGATGAATTTTCGTGGAATCATACATAACATGATGACACATAAATGTAAAAGAAAAAATTGAAGATCACCTCATATGATATAAATTGTAGCATGAAACAATAAAAATGGTAATAAAGTGTGACAAAGACAGTTAAGAAAAAGAATTAACTCTTATGAATTTAATATGGAATATGATCTCCCCTGACTTGTACACACATATCACAACGTGTTTTAAGGCTGGAAATAACGTTGTTAACCACAGTTTGGGGAATTAATCTCCACTCTTCCAGCAATGCCGTCTTCAGAGCATTTACATCTCTAGGAGGAGGATGTATACGTGCAATTGCTCTTCCAAGGTAGTCCCATAAGTTCTCTATCGGGTTAAGGTCAGGAGAGTTTGGTGGCCAAGGTATTCGCTTAATGTCTTCATTTTCAAGGAATTCATCAACGAGGTTTGCTCGATGTGGACGGGCATTATCATCTATAAATAAAATGTCAGGTCCATATGCACCCCTGAAAAGTCTTACATAAGGATCTAAGACCTCATCTCGATATATCTGGCCTGTCACAGATCCGTTGCTAAACACGTGGGCGTACGTCCATCGATCATTATTCCACCCCATACCATCACACCTCCACTACCGAAACAGTCACGTTCCACAATGTTCAAGAGATCATTTCGTGTTCCTGACTCCCTCCAGATGTAAACACATTTAGAATCACCAGTTAAACTAAAACGCAACTCATCAGTAAAGAGAACATGGGACCATTGATGTTCTTTACACCAATTAAAGCGATCCCTCTTTTTCTGTGAAGGCAGTAAAACACATACCCTTGGCTTTCTGGCATAAAGGCCTTTTCATTAAGCCTTCTGTATATTGTCTGCCATGATGCAACAGTTCGAGTGGCGGCTGCAAGCTCTGAACTTAACTGGCGAGCAGTAGCCTTTCTGTTACAACGGGCAGTTAATGCCAGATACCGATCTTCAGAAGCAGTTGTCATTCGTTTCCGACCTTGTCCAGACCTCTTTACAACACTTCCATCATTTTGAAACTGTTTCCATAGCTTAGAGACTGTCTGTCTTGAAATATTCGGACATGTGGCTGTTTCCATGATTGCCTTGCTTCTAAACGGCCGATAATTCGCCACTTTACAGATTCTTCCAAATGATACTTTGAAGCCATAACAAACCGCTTTGAGTCCCTACACACTGAAATCAAACACTATGTTGCAGAAATTCACTCAAATATTCAGTTTGCGCAAAGCGCTTGATTCACCCTTGGATGACGTAATGCCTAGATTTGCATATCACAAACCGTTTGATTACTTTTGATTGGATAATGCTAATTAGGCTTGGTTTTCACACATTCCCTGCAAATATGGATCACATTGATTTGATATTTTATTGAATATCATCATTTTTGGGTATGTAAAGATATTTTGGACATGAGTTAAAAAAGGTGTGCCAATTGGCGTTAACTTTTTTCGCCAAGTTGAACGCGTTTTGATTTCATAAACAATTACTGCCTGCGATAAAAAAAGAAAAATGCTATTATTAGCATTAAATTATTGAGAAAAGATTGTGTGATATGTTTAGTTTGTTAAAAAAAAGCTGAAGATCTTGATTCATGCAACATTGAACATAAACAGTTAAACAGCATTATTTTAAAAATCAGATTACTTTTATAAAGCTCATTGCTTTATCATTATTTTCTATAAAATCAATTAAAATAAAAATAACCAGGATTATAATTCTGTCTCATCTACGATGCTGTTAGAAATTTATTGTAATTGAAAAAATAAGATGTGAAAAACTTACCATATTTTAAATAGTATTTAAAAAAAAAAAAAAAAAAAGGGAGAGTGAGAGAATTTTTAACTGTAATATCGTTTTGATCCTAATAATAAATACTGAAGTTTGTTACCATTTGATACATATTCAATATAAAATATTTGTTATAGTTAATAAGTATTGATCCCCGCCATGACATACACATGAGTGTGGAAATGAGTAATTAAGATTGCATTATTTTGTCCCAGTAATAGAATCTCAAGAAAAGAGAGTGCATTATTTTGTTCCAGTAATATAATCTCAAGAAAAGAGAGGCAATCAATGGCATAAATACATATAATAATAATGTGATTTTCTTTTTCTCTTTAGGATGCAATGCATTAAAATTAAACGAGATTTTTTTACCTTCTCAAATATCATAAAAGTAGTGCAATTAATTTTTTAACGTTATTCAAAATTAAAGTTTCCATCTCAATTTTTTATTATTTATTTTAGATTTTCTTTCTAAAATTATTTAACCTAAACATCTTAAACAATGGTGCAAATAATTTAAAGCGATTATTAAAAATATAGATAAAATATTCAGGAAAAAAGGGGTTAAGTTATATCTAAATATAATTGTAAAAAATCGAACAACCTAATTTGAGGCCGTTGTCTGCTGACTGCTAGCAGACGGAAATAAAAAGCACTACCTGCCATATCAAAAGCGGGCCAAACCGGCGATGAACAGCCTAAGCTATCACTCCCCATGAGCCCCAAGAGCATTAGTCACGTGGTATATGTTCGAGACACCCTAGCAGACGAATTCTCTGTGGGCGAGCCGTCTACCTGTTATATGAAGTCGTTGGATACAACAGCTAGTTTTACAATTGGACAATTTTTCTTTGAAAAGCAGTCGACAGCTGGACTTGTTACATGCACTGTGACTGCAGCTTTGCTTTGCATCAATGTTCAGACGTTGGTACTTTCGACACCATGAATTTATGCAGGGCCAACCACACACTGGTACATGTGCCACAGTTACTTCGGCAACATTTCATTAATGAACAGATTATAGGCAGACACTTTCCCACTTCTTGGGCACTCTGGTCACTAGACCTCAAACCCCCTGTGATTTTTGGCTATGAGGCACTATTTATGATGATTATCTAAACAATTTGGCGGAATTAAAAGATGCGATACATTGACATGTCCACAACATTCCTCCTGATATGCTAAAGAACTGCTGTTAAGAATGCAGTATTAAGATTTAACTTATGTTCGAAAAATGGTGGACGCCACATTGAGCATGCTTATCTTGTTTACCAATATTGCATACAGCTCTATTTCCCCCTGGTGGTGAGTTTTTTAACTTCTTCCCCCACAGAAAATATATTTCCATGACCTCCTTCACACAATTACCAAGTTTCATAACATTTGGTGTAGTAGTTTTCCTTTTATGGCTATTTCAAAAAGGAACTTTAATAATAACCACCCTGTATAACAGATGAAATAGTTAACCTAATTAATGAACTAAATTTGGACATCAACAGTAAAGCTGTTAATGAGTTGACTAAATCTCACTTAGCACCTCTGTCAAATGAACACTTAAATTGAGCAACAATGGGATACATAATTAAAGTGAGGAGGAAGAAGCTGATAAAAATGTCCAGACTTAAAAATACGAATGAAGCTTCTTGACAAATTTTTGTTTATCAAGAAAGCATGCGATCCCAAAGGAGAATGTACATCTCAAGAACGTAATGTGACGAAGAAAGATACAGCATTTTATAAAAATCTTTATCAAGAAAATAAAATGGGTGGTATTAAACCATTCTTGACAAGTGCATAAAGAAATGGACGAAAGCACTTAAATATAACACGTTAACTTCATTATGTGATAAATAAATACTTTAAAACAGTTTTGCACATATTTTTTAATTCCTCTACTTTTGAAAAATTATAATACCCCATCTTCTAAAGAATCTAAAGAATACCCCATCTTCATCACAGAGGAAAGACAACACTCTCAGATGCAGCACTGAACAAGAAATATCCAAAAACATTTTATCTGGATTCAAACATTGATTGGGTTAATGTCAAATAAAAAGAAATAAATTAGGTAATGACAGCATTCTGAACATAAAAAATAATCTAGATTTTCAATATTTCAGAGACTACAATTTACACCAAGGGTAGACAAAAAAAAAAAAAAAAAAAAAAACAATTACAACATTTATAAACACTTGCTATTCTGGAGGGGAATTGGTACAGACTACTTGTTCATGTACTTAAAAACAATGTACAAAGATAAGCATGAAATCATTTCTCAGGCTACAAATTCTAGTTCAACACATTACTTTAGAATACAGAAATTATACACACCTGAATATCCTTCATTAAAGTAATAATTCTTTTTCCTACATCTGATGAAGCTTCAATCCCCTCTTTAAGAAAGGCATCAGCAACAATTTGTACAATTTTTGGAAGATTACAGTTTTCTCTTCCCAGCAGATAAGGATTATTTCTAAGGGGGAGGGGGAAACCAGAAAATTAAATTCTTCAAAAGTATTTTCATGTAAATATAAAAGCTGTTTTAAAGATATGAAATACCTTGGGGGGGTTTGGGCAGAGGATACAACTTAATTTTATTTTGAGATAAGAAATATTCCTCACATATGGCACAAAACCTCTTTTTCTAAGTCGCATTCAAATCTATTTTATTTATGAAAACTTCACATAAAGAATACTTTTAAAAACAACTCATATCCTAATAGTCCCCCCCCAAAAAAAGGGACTGCAAATAAAATTATGAAATTAGAAGATTACCTTAAAATTGCTTTATTTATATTCAATTATTGGAAATTGAAAATTCCATGACTAAGCTTTAAGAAGTATCAGGAAACTGAAATCACGTTAAGAGCATATTTCTGCAAATGCCATTTTGAGGCATGACAAGTAAACAAACATGCAGAAATAGAATATTATTAAGGTAGGTATTACATTATCTGTAGCTACCAAACTTGAAATATAAGAAAAACCCCATTCAAAATTTCAACATAAAAAATTATTCATTTTTAAAAAATGTATTAACTATATCAAAAATTACTATAAACTGTCATAAAGTTATGCAAGTTTAAATAGTAAGAAACCAGCATCAAAGCACTATGTACTCACGTTTCAAGAAGGGTACAGAAGAAATTATACACATATTTTGCTTCTTCTTCATCTTCCCAAATTGGTAACCATGTAACCCAAACAGGAATCAATTCTTCCATATTTAAAGATGTAATATTACTAAGAAATTTTGTTACGGCTGATATTGCATTTTCTGTTGCTCTGATATTCTCTTCAGATCGAGAATCAGGATCATTTATCATCTGGACTAAAAGAGGAATGCTCTCTGTTGGAAAAATAAGAAAAAACCTTCTACATTATAACAAAAATAAGATTATCCTACAAATATACATTCGTGTTATGCAAAAAAGATATTTAAAATTTAATCCTTTTTTTTTTTATTTAATCAGACTATGGTTTAATGGCATAAGGCCCTAATAATGACATACTCTAAATAAAAGATTGCATGTATGCATATGCTCAGGTTTAACCATACATCAACATACGCAGGATCTCGAAGAAATTTTGGTGGAATTTTGTAAGGTTTCTGTTAAGTACATAGTTTATGAAGAGGATTTAAAATGCTTTTAACTCAAGAGATTCAAAAAGACTTTTAAGTGCAATGAACACAGCCTTATTGTGGAAAAGCCCAAATTCTATATGATTACACTGGAGATTCTCATCATAAGGTCGCCAATGGTATGAATTATGGAGTGAGAAGATTTTTGGCTTTCTTTTTTCAACTAGTATCAACTTTAATGTGCACAAGAGAATGCTACATATATTTTTCCCCCAACAATACAGAACAGCATTGTACTCTGTGAGTGATTCCTTTACAAAGCTGCTGTTAACAAGAAGGGGAGGGGATGTGCAAAAATTTTATTAGAATTTTTGGCCATTCTCAAATTCTTTTTACCCATAAGCCACTGTGAACAATGACATCACAAACATAAATCAAACTGGCTGACATTGATCTAATGCTGTTTACTACTGCGACAATGGCTACCAGAACTTTCATAATTGGTTTCCAAAAAAGTTACGCTTTATTTATACTACTATTATCAGCTCTTGTGCACGCACTGCTTGTGAATGACAGTACAGCGTGGTGCTGCATCTTCAAAATTTGAATTAAATTTAATATTGAAATGAAATTTCAAGCATATTTTTGAACTAATGAAAAATCTGAGAATTTTATTGTTTGCACCACTGGATAGAGGACTGGATAATTATTCAACTTTTAACACGATTTTTTAAAGTTATTTTTGGACAAACTTCTGAAAAATCGCTTTTTAGATTTTTAACATCCATTATTTAAACAAATCACATCTAAAAATGTACTGGTTACAAAATTTTGAAAGATTACAGAACAAATATTTTGCATCCTTTTTGTTAAAAAAAATGATAAAAGATATTAGTTAGGCAATTTTTAACATTTTAAAAAAAAATATACAATGAAGCAGAAGTATTTGTTTTTCTTGTGCATCATTTAGAACAATCAGTTATAACCTTATTACACCACACTAGTTTTTGGGCCTTAAGTATAAATTCCTCCAAAATTCTACTTATTTAGACTTCCATGACTACATAACATGTGTAAGATATATTAGCAGGAATTGTACATTATAAAGAGGAAAAAACTTTTTACTTTTCTTTAGTGTGACAAATTTCCTATAAATAAATATCCCTGCCCATTTTCATAGTGTTTAAAAAATCATTGATAATAATTATTAACACGGTTACAAATGCACTGATTTTTTTTGTTTCTTGCTCTGGGATGGCATGCGTACTCATGTATTACTTCATCTGGTGGCACTGCCTTTCTGTTTCCCCACAAACATTCTAATATAACATCTGCACTTGACTGTTGAGTGTACTGTTCAAAACCATCAGTGCAAAGTGCTGCCAGACACACTGTTATATCATCAAAATATTATATACCCATACCAGTTCATATTGAACCATCAAGTAACAGTTTTCAATCTCCACCAGCCTCTATTCGCTGTTACAACTTTATGTTGACCAGTTGTACAAAACTTATGCCGGTTGTTCATCATAACCACATATTTTTACAGTAGAAAGGTGGTTGTCATTTTTCCATTTTATTTTTTGTCCATATAAATAATAGACAACATGGATATGGAAATAAGTGATTCATCAGATGAATCAGTAAATAGAAGGATAAAAAATAAAACACCAGGAATATTAGTTGAACAAACACATAAATACGCTGAACATATAAATTCAGGTCCAGCAGCCTGCTATGAGAGGCGAAATCAATAGTTTGTTGGTATACTGCTGATCATGGGTGTAGTGCAACTACCAGATATTAAACTATACTGGTATGGAAAAGACCATGTATACGAACACGCATATAATAATAAAAACATGAAAAGTGATCGCTTCTTAACCTAAACTGAAATTTTTACATTTTTCGGGCAGCACAACAGCTAAAATCTGAAAATCAATTGAATCAAATTAGAAATATAGCTGAAATTGTTACTACTTTCAAAACAGCCTGGAAGAAACATCATTATTGATGAAAGCATAATTCCATGGAGAGCACGTCTTAATCTTTGCCACTGCATTCCAGGCATGTGCCATATGTATAATATATAAACTGCGTCTTCCAGAAAGTTACATTTATATGGGAAAGAATACAACCCCAATTCAAAAAACATACTCCTATTATGTGATTAGGAAATGGATTATTATTTGAGGGATGTGTATTATTAACACGTAGTTATTACATGAGTGTCCCTTTGGCTGAAGATCCTTTGGAAGGGATTTATTCGTTGGGCAGGAGCAACAAAAAACCAGTTTGTATATTAACTGCTTGCAATAATCACACATGTATGACTCCTCAAGGGGGGGGTAAACTGAAGGCTGATGCTTTTTTTTATAACAAAAAAACAAGGGTGTTGATTTGTCTAACTGACATCCTTCTATAGTTGTTTGTGGAACACGGTTAAATGGTACCGAAAAATTATATTATTAATACGTGGGATATACCTGATAAATATATGGTACATAAATTGCACATGGAGAAGTAAGAATATTAATATTTCATAATTTAGGAGCAAATTTTTGATCAGCTTTTAAACAATGTCCATGGCATGAACAAATGCATACTGACAATACTTTCAAATAAAGTTTCCCATTGTTTTTCAAATTTAATTTTATAAACAGCCTGGAAGAAAGTCAAGAAAAAGATGTTAGGAATATTACAAACAATTACACACATTTATAAAGATGGAGATTATGCCATATTTTTATAATCAAATTATTGATAGTTGAATTTATAATATTATCTTTAGTTAAGTTTATTATACCGAATTGTAGTTAATTTAACTCCTACTTTTTTCAATTAATACATGTTAAATTTATAGTATTTAAATTTTCAACCATATACCAATTTTTTCCAGGTCTCCCCATGCCATTTAAGTGCGAGCCACTGGTCGAACATGCTGGTGTGAACATGTTAACCTTTTGACAACAGGATGACCATTATAGTGGCCATAGAGTCCCATGTTTGAAAACACGGGGTTGTCCACTTTAGTTGCCTATCTTCCCCCCCCCATTTCCAGGCAGAAACAAAATGAATTTCAAATGTCAAATTTGACGTTCCTCGGATTTAAACCACTTATCTCTTTCAAAGGTCTTTGTTTTAAGTAATCAGTTTTCCCCTTTTCATTCTGGTAGCTGTAGAATTCGCGATAACCGAGTTCGTAAATTGTAAACAGAGCCTTGCATTGCTTTAGAATATTGCATATTTTCGTAAGTTTTCTAGGAATTATTTTGACTTCTTTCTAGTGATATGCCGAAAAGGGAAAGAGGGCTGACTGAAGAAGAAATACGAAAACTTCTTCAAGAGCTGGATGATGAAATATATACACATATCTATGTTTATATATGTATGCATAAATCTACACACACATACATACATATAAATGCATATGTGTGCCTGTGTGTGTACATGTGTGTATATACTTTATTCCCATTTAAAGGTATGCATGCTTTCTGTACATATCTGCACTTACACCATATTATATAAATGCAGACATACATACTAGATGGATATGTAGGTATACGTTTTCATAAACAAATATAAATTTCCACATACTTGTATACAGGTACAAGCAGTTCTTACATTTTTATCAATTCTGTCTGTTTTTATTTCGATATATATCTGTTTATGCTGAAGTGACCTTCACACACAGAAGTTTACTGTGATGGTACTGTTATTCAAACAAATCACAAGAACATAAATTTCATGTCAAAGAAACAAAAATAGCCTTACAACTTCAGTCTGAAATCTGGAAATTGTAAATAATCTAAAACTAGTCAATCAGCTTGAAAGCTTTTGCCTTTGTAGGAGAGAGGAATTTCTTCATTGTGTTTCTCACTGAAGCTCATCTCTAGCCATTAGATTCCAGATGTACTGATGGCACACTTCAAAAGGTACTGAAGTATCAGTGGTCTCAATTTCACGGTCAAATGGTTTTGAAGATAATTAAGACAGTTTTGAAGATGTTCACAGACTGGATTAGAATAGCATTTGTGAAATGTCACTGTCAGTTGAGCTCCAAGAATACAAACAGGATGTTAAAGCTCTTAAATAATATACAACACATGCTCTCCACCTGAATATCTGAACCTTGATTTTTTAAATGAATAATGCCTTTGCAATCTATTAATTTGACATATATCTCAGTAATTTCAAGGACAAATTCCCGGCCACTCAGTTATGAAAAAATTTTCATAACACAGCATAATGACCGAGATGTTAATGAAACCAATGAATAGCGGCCAAATTTTCAAAAGAAAAGGGTAAAAAAGTCATTCAACAGTGTCAGTATAGAATTCGCATGACCTGACAATGAAGTTTTTTGGATAACTGCAAGTAAAGATACTCACTAATATATCATAGAATTTCAATTTTACCATATAAAATATGGCGCCAATGTTGATGCCAAAGCTGACAGTCTTGAGTTGAAAAGAACTGAATTAGACAATAGAGGAAATAGAAAAACTCGCATGCGACGATTTCACACAAGAGCGATTTTTGCTGACCAGGCACCTGAAATTATCTGGAAATTTCTCCTAATGTCCTTACTTTTGCCACGCAGTTTTTCAGACACTATGCATAACAATTTTCCTTTCAATTTGAAAAAAATCTTTGCACTAAGAAGCTATCTAAATTTTGATACCCGAGTGAACACGTTCCCTTAGTGAGGCTTAAAATTTTTAATTTTAGAATAAAAAAATTTAATTTAGTATAAAAAGACAAATGGAATTGATGTTTTGAATTATGGGTTTGCATACTAAATACAGAGTTGCCACTCAAACAGGAGAATGAAATTCCCCGACTTTTCGAGGTGGGATTTAAGAAAATTCCAGCCTAACTGCATAGGCTGTGCTGAGAGGTAAATTAATTATGGTACCACTTGAAAACAAAAAAATTTGCCAATTACATATAACTTACATAAAATAGATATATATAATAAAATTCCCAAAGCATTACTATTATAAGTATAACAGTTGTTTTCTCCATTGAAGACCGAGATTAGAATCTGCCCAATCTGGATTAAACGATAGAAATATATTTAATGCTATTTTATATTTATTTAGAAGCACAAATAAGCAAAAAATATTCGCATTAAATTTCGCGATAGTATGTCATCATACTGCTAGAATTAGTTTCAGGATTATGCCAGAAAAAATTGCCTGAAATTTGGAAGTATTATTAACTAATAATAAATAAATATAGAGGGAAGAAGCCACAATAAGTGGTATGAATTACATTAAAATAAAGTTAATTACTTAAAAATTTAATTACAATAATCAATATATACGGTGAATATATAAATGATTAGCCTAGATGACTGATTACTTTCTTTTTTTAAAAAATTTTACTGCAAAGTGACAAATAAGGAAATTTATTAACAAGATTCAAAAGAAGATTTAAAAGATTATACATTAAAATCCTAAAATACACTAAGGGTCTCGGAATGAATTCAAAAATTGCCGCCAACATCAAAATGACCCGCTTAACTGCTCATCATAATCTCGCCAAATCCCGTGTGTACCGTATACTAGAATTACACCGATTTTGTTTTACACAAAGAATATGTATTATTAGGAAGAAAAATTTTGCAACAGGAGTGTCCCAACGTAGAGGGAAGCAGCTGCAGATGTCCGAAATATCTATTGCCAAAGCTCAAAGACGGCGTCAAAGTTCTAAAGTCACATTTATCAAGAGTTCACAAAACGAACATCGTTCTTAATTTCTTTAAACTTTAAAGAAAAAGAAAATATTTTTTTCCACAAGTACATTAATTAATCGATTAGCTTTGATGGGTGGGGAATTGTTCATAAACAGTCAGATTTGTTCATAAACAAATCTGACTGAACATCAAAATTAATTACCAATGCAAAATACCGCAAACGTTATTGCACAATACGTGCGGCATAATTCTCCCATATGTGATATTACGCAATCGGAATCAACACCTGCCGGTATTCGGAGAAAGAAGAACTAAATAAAGGAAACAAAGATTTACTAATCTGGGGTGTTTCTGATTCTAATTTTCAACAGACTGTATTAAATTTCCGGAATACAATCAATCTTCACTTGGGTTGGGTAGACCGCAAAAACTTAGTCCTATTCAATCCAGATTGGACAGTGACAAAAAAAAGTCCGCTGCTTCAATATTAGAGATTTTGCGGAGAAACTCCTAACCTCAGTACTGTATAATGTATTGGCAAAGAAAATGAAATTATTTTGACTATTCGATTACTTTCCTTTTATTTAAGCCATTCCGAATATTATTCCTTAGAAAGCTAATCTGTGTAAAAACACACCCATTTTTGTAAGTTTATCTATACTTCAGCAATTACTGCAATTATATTATTATAAATATTCATACATATGCTCCTAATATAAGCATAACGATCATAATAAACATGAATACGAACTGACCATGCGAAATAAGAATGCAAATTATTAAAATCTTGATAGAAATTTAAACGTGTGTAGTATTTGGGTGGGAGGAAAATAATACCGAATGTATCGGAATTTTCTGCGTTTTCGCAATTCTTTGCCCAATTGAACGATGTGCACCTGTCTGTACTCTCGTGCACAGCATAGGTTACGTTAATGCAAACGAAGGGGGGAAGCAATTTTCGGGAGTATGATTCACCATCTGACGTTGCATATAAGGAAGAAGTTGTTTATTTAGTCCCATAATCCGGACCTACAAACTTTCTTCGCATGTGTCAACGCATAATGCGTTCTCGCATGCGCATATGCGTTTATGCATGCACGTAATACTTTTACGCATGCGCATAATGTGTTTATGCATGCGTATTTAATGTATAACGGACGGACGGTATAAGCTAAGCTAAAATTATCTATTTCAGTTAATGTTGCGGATTGCGTTGTTCCTTTAATCTTCGAACTGGATCTGGCTTATTATTTTTTGCAGACTGTTAGAGCAATTTTATAAAAGTAAGCTTGAACTTTCGATTATGTCAAATAGAATTTCCGATGCTGGAGCTGCCAAAGGATCTATAAAGCGAAAGTATGTTTCGATGTCCATGAAACAAAAAGTGGAATTGCTGCAAAAAATGGATAAAAGCATATCCTTTGTTTCTCTAACAATTCCAAAATCTGTTTATCAATTTCACGCTGCTCTGCGGTAAAGGGGGGGGGGAACGTCGCGGCGCGTAATGAACAGGAAGTTGATCTGTCAGCACTATCCTTATCTTTTCATATTTTTAATTTTACAATTTCTGCATGCCATCTTACCAGATTTAAACTGATGATCTATAATCCGGAAAAATCGATAATCCGGAATCGTCGAAGTCCCGACGAGTCCGGATTAAAGACTTTTGACTGTATACTGGAATTTTACAAGTCACTATTTTATTGAATTAAAGATATGCTGCTATTAAAAATCGAAGATATCTGCTTGAAGCTTCCACCCACTTGGCGTTGCTAATTCTTTACATTATTAATTTCCCTTTTATTGTCATCTTGAGTACTTCTCTCACCTTTACAAATTTTACTGTTCTCCGTGTCTACTGCGCGAATGAATTCTTTGTCACTCAAAATTTTGAAACTTGGTCCTTTGTTTTCTTAGTTTACCATTTCTGAAGTTCTAATTCATCTTGGACAATGTATTCGCACCTTTTTGATCCATTTTGAACATGTATAAGAATTAATCATCATTTGTATCTGGGTATTAGTGTTGTTTTCATCTTTTTTAAAAAATTTTATCAGAAGACAGAAACAAAAAATTACTTCAGACTTGCAAGTGATTTCATTTCTTTGTGTAATTAGTTGCATCTTAATTATGAGTTGGATGCTATAAAAACTGATTTAATATGAGTCATGGTACTTTCAAGCATCTAGAATTCGAACTTGATAAGGATGAAAACAAAAGTTTTTAGGATTCTGATAACAATGATGATGTTAATTCTATTAAGTCAGGATCACCTCTTGTAAATAATTTAGTAGAACAAAAACTTATGATCCCTAGTAAAATTTCATGACATTATAGAAACTGTTTCAGAATTTAATGAAGCTGATATGTATCCTATTGAATTGTTCATTTGTGATCTAGTCGAAACTTTCAAATTTTTTCGGTTATCTGAATTACAAAAGATTGTGTTTACTAAAAATTGCTTATAGGTTCTGGTAAAGTATTTATTCGGTCTTTGAAAGGTATGCCATGGGACCAGTTAAAAGAAAATCTTTTATCTGAATTTGGTTCTAAAATAACTTCATAATTTGTAACAAACACATTTAAAAGCTGGTGAATCCCTTTCTGAGTACTTAATTGCAATGCGAGAAATAGTCGGTCACAGTTTTGTTGATGATTAATCCTTTATTGATTGTGTAATTAATGGAAAAGCCAATTGATGGCCAAGTAGCAACAAAATTGCTTTGAATGGATGTAGAACTATTTCTGAATTTAAAAAAAATTTAAAATTTATGAGAAAGTTTGCACTCCAGATACAAAGCCTAAAGTATAATCTAGAAAGCAAACAATGAAGCAATAAACAGTTCCTGAATATATAAATCAGCACATCACATACTTAATCAATTTACTCAAGGCACTTTTTTTTCATGTAAAAACTGAGACTTCTTACCAGAACAAAATTTAGCATAATCAGGACCACCAAACTGTGCAAGAACACCAATGGCATATGCAGCAGTCTGTCTAACATCAGGACTTTCATCGTTTAAAGCTAATAATATTGGTTGTAAGAAATACTGTTGATATCTAGAACACAACTAAAAGAATTAAAATAAAAATAAGAAATTAATGACACCTAGAACTTGCAAAACATAAAGTACACTAACATCAACACACAACATGATACAAAGAAATTATTGCACTCAAATATGTAAAAAATACAAGTACCACTCCTGGTTTATTTTCATTTTTTAGATTTCACTCTCATAAATTTGCAAGAATGAAAACATACAAACAATGGTTAATTCCACAATAGGAAACTTGGAAGCAAGAATTTTATCAATTTACAGAACAGATTACAAAACAAATTGTTAATAATGTCATTATAAAATGTACGATGCTATTTTTTAAAGGATTTAAAAAGAAAAAACCCCCCCTATGGATTTCATATGAAAAGCCCTTTCTTCGATCTTTACCCGGTTATAGCCCATTAGTTTCCTAAAACCCTATAACCCTGTTCCGCCATTTTAAAAAACACTCATCACACTGTCTATTACCTTTACACACCTGCACCTTAAAGAATAATTAGAACCCTAATTTAATATGAGAAATTCGTATTTTGTTAGAGAGAAAGCATTCAGCCATGGAAACAATTACATTCCTTTTTTTATTTTCAATTACAGAAATGTTTTCAGTGAGAGAAAAATAATCCGAACTAAACTTTACAATTTTAATGATGAAATTTCAGTTAAAATAAGAAATAAATACAATACCACATTATTATATTCGCTGGCAACCTAAATAGTGATGTTTCCATTACAATTTGCAACAAAGTAATTTAAGTAAAAATAAGTAAAAAAAAAAGGAACTTTTCTGAAATCAGAAGACGGGAAATTGCTTCATGCAGTCATCCTTTAACAATAAAAGCTTAACTAACCAGCATACTCGGAATTTCCCGAATACCTGAAAATTCCGGATAGTGCAGCGTAACTGGTAAAAGTGGAAGGAGGTAGATTGTAGCCGTTTTTTGGATTTCTCAGCTAAATAATGCTTTTGATATTTCGATATGTCATCATTTAAAAAATAGCCCAATGGAACTGAAAAATAATCTGCAAGTACAGTAAAACTCTTTTAACTCTGCGAAATATTGCAAATGTCATTGTGCAATACCTGCACCTTAATTCTCCACATGATATTACGCAATCGGAATCAACAACTGCCAGTATTCAGAGAATACCTAAATAAAGGAAAACGTCCCTTTGCTTCGTACGGTTTTCACAGTCATGCGCCAATGTGGTATATTTATCATTAAGGAGGACACGTCACGGTCATACTTGCCAACCTATGACACTCAAAAATCAGGAGATTTTTCACAATGTTAAAAGGACTTTTAACTTTAAATAGAAACTAATTCTTAAATGCAAGCAACACAAAAATACCTTACACATAAAAAACATTTTTATTACTTGCATCGTTTAAAAAAAAAAAACAACAGCAAAACCCTTTATCGTTTTCGTACATGTTATCATTTTTTTTCTTCCTTTTAGACTCCTTTCAAGATAATAATAAACATCAACAATGTGTTCATTCACTTTTTCAGCTGCTAAATTTAAGAGGTGACAGGTGCACCTCATAATCTGCAAATCTGAATTTTCCTTTCTTAAGATGGCTGCAACACCAGTCTTCAAGCCTACCAATACTGATTCATTATCGGCACCAAGAGCTAAGCAATTATCCAGAGGGACTGCATTTCCTTTTAAAGTTTTAACAATTAGCTGTGCTATATTAAAGCCTGTCAAATGTCCTTCTAAAGTGGGAACAGAAAGTAAACTGCACTCAATTTCTGAAGACTCTGGATTTAAAAAAAAAAAAAAAAAAAAAAAAAAAACAATTGGATACAGTTTTGAATCGGTATTATTGATTCCATCCATAGAGAGGCAGAACGGAGCTGTTTTAATGCAATCAATAACTGAAGATTTATTTTTCAAACCCATTTCTTTAACAATTGCACCTGTTTTGGTCCTTGCACTTGAGTATTTCTTAGCGATTTCACTATCGGGAAACATTTTTCTAAATAAAGCTGCAGCGTGATCCGATGCATTCAGTGGCAGGTTGTGCTCCAGTAAAAAGGCAGAGAACAGACATTCTGCATTAATACTTTTTGGTCCTTTGTTTCCAAAGAAAAATTTAATTTTTTGTTTTTTTCAAAACAACTCATGTTCTTGTGTTTTTGTGTACGCACATGTTTGAGAACGTTAGCCCTTCCACCATGCGAAATCGAAAAATAGCAAATTTATTACATTTCCTTGAAGAAATAATGGAAGGAAAGTTAACTGTGTACGGTTTTTGAAACGTACAGAAGTATTTCACCTTTCTCACAGACATAACAAAAGATGATAAATTCTAAAATTATTTCCTGAAGGCATGTGTACTCGCACAACTCAGGACAAAATGACCGAAATAACTAAACATCCAAATAACAGCTTGCCTTGTCCTCATTGGCTAATATATGCCACATGACACGGAGTGGAGCACGATGTTTCTGGATACGTATATGCTCTCACTCACAAAACAGAAGTTATTTAATTCGCAAGGATTTGTTTTAGATATAACCTAGAGAGAATTCAATTGCTTTCAGACGTCCAAAATCACTTTTTCTTGTTCATATAACAAAGTATTAAGCCAAATTCCATAAAAATCGTGAGAAATTTTGAGACTAAGAAAAAGTCGGGAGAAATATATTGTAAATCGGGTTTGGCGGGAGAGAAGTCGAAAATCGGGAGAGTTTGCAACTCTGCCTGACGTACTGATATTGATTAATAATGAGATTTACCAATCTCGGGTGATTTTCATTTTAATTTTGAACAGACTGCGTTAAATTTCCGGAATAGAATCATTCTTCGCTTGGGTTGATAGACCACAAACTTTATGTATTCATCCAGATTGGAAGTGACCAAACAAAAGTCAGTTGCTTGCTTGCGCGAACTGTATGGGTTTCCAATACTCGCGATTTGCAGAGAAGGGAGCCCTCATTTCCGAGTATATGCATTGCCCCCCCAAAATATTTTGACTATTTGATTACTTTCACTTTATTTATGCCATTCCGAATATTATTCCTTAGAAAACTAATCTGTGTCAAAATGCACTTACCCATTTCTGAAGTTTATTTTTCTTCAGGAGTTACTGTAAATATATCAAATATATTATTATAAATATTCACACATATGCTCATAATATAAACATACCGATGATAAGAAACGCGAATGTGAACTGATCACGCAGAACGTGAATGGAAATTATTAAAAATCTTGATAGAAATTCAAACGTGTGTACTATTGGGTGGGAGCAAAAGAAAAAAAGAATGTACCGGAATTTCCTATTGCTTTCGTAATTCTTTGACCAATAGAACGTTGTGCACCTCTCTGTCCAAAGGCTATGTTAATACAAAGAAAGGGGGGAAAAGCTATTTCTGGGAGTATGATTCACCATCTGATATTTCATATAGAGTTGTTTATTTAGTTTCGGCTTTGGTACGGAAAAAAAAAAGGCACTAAAAACAAAAAAATAAGTGCTTTAGAGAAAAAGTAAGCACCTATAAGGGCTTTTATATTTTATTTTCAAATATAAACACTTGTAAGGACTCCTACAAACCCTATTACAAAATTTTTAAGCATTATTCTCACAAAACATAGCTTATTTTTACCTCTTCGATCCGGTACAAACCGCGCGTTATCGCTGAGGCCGCAGTCTACGCGAGCGTCTCTCCAGGCCGGGGCTTTTTGCTACTAACCTAAATCATGAAATTTCCGAAGTATCAACGCATTTTATAATGCCTATAGAGTATTTAACGGCTTATGCTTAAGATATTTTTATATATAACATTAATTACCTTTTTCTTGTTTAAATGCTATTTTAACACATTTATTTTAATTATCCCATTTTAATGAATTTTAACATTAGACTCTGCAAACTAAATGTATAACTTAAAGTCTCTTTTTCGTATGACAAATTTGAAACAGGGCTCTCCACAGTCACGTTACATCCTTGCCTGCAATAACCATTTGCCGTTTGGAGGGAATGTGAACCAAAGGCATCGTCGTCTCATTTTCTTATCTCTTTCTGAACAAAGTTTGGAAAAGTCTTTCAGTTATCTTTCATAAGTTCGAATCATTATCTGAATATTTTGATCATTTCTGCTATTTCATCTCGGTAAAACTTTCGACGCTTCGACATTGCAAAAGGTAAAAACAAATAATTCGTTACAGATCTATTTTTCAAAACCTGAACTCAGCCAAATACCAGCTTTATGGCAATAAACCTTCTCTACTTACATTAACAAACACTTGCGAATAAAGTGCGATTAAAGGACGTATAAATCAGCCATTCGGAACATATTCCGTTGTTTATTAATCAAAAACAAGTATGTGAGTATGCTTCTCTCATCAAGTATACGGTCTAATGTACATGTTCGGACATATGGAATACATTGCATCTTGTGGCAGAAATTATGTTGAAAACGTTCCAAAGTACTGGCACAATACGTGACAGCGTTAGAGAACGAACAATCCCTGGACGCCTGCGGTCGGCCGGTAGTAAGTTGTCGTTGCTGGCAGTATACCTATAAATTGCAAACAAAAGGTTATAAATCAAGCTACTGGGATTTAACATGTCAACCAGCTTATTAACAAATCGTGGGACTCTGGTGAATGGAATCATCATTTTCACTGGAATCTGAATCATTAACTGCAAACCGTAGAGGCACTTTCATCACTTCGAGCATCTTGGGCAATGAATGGTAACTTTTTCAAACTGTTGACTTCTATTGGATAAAGTCTCTGGAATGGTCTCAACTCCTCTCCATCAACTGTTCTCACTCTTGCAACTCTTGAGTGCCCATCTGCTCCAGAAATGACTTCAATGACGATTTCTAAAGGCTAGTTGGTACGCTTGCCAACAGTTTCTTAGGAGAACGACCTACCCAACTCTTAAAGATTCTTCCCGGCTCTTATCTTTATGAAGCAACATTCCTAAATACTCATTCCAAAACCTTATTCTTAAATCATGCCTTAATTTTCGTATAAAACACAATCTTATATTT